GTTAGGAAAAAGGACAAATGAGTCATTTATTACATGTGAGTTACAGAGGAAGAGGTTCTATTTCAACTGTCAAAAGTAAAGACAAATAAGTCAATGGGACCTGATGAAATACACCAAAAGTTATTAAAAGAGCTTAGTGGTGTACTAGCAAAACCATTAACAGATGTATTTAACCAATCATTGTTAACAGGAGTAGTCCCAGAAGATTGGAAGTTAGCGAATGTTGTGCCCATTCACAAGAAAGGTAGTAGGGAGGAGTCGGGCAACTATAGGCCAGTAAGCCTTACTTCAGTAGTGGGGAAAGTGATGGAAACCATGTAAAGGATAGGATTGTTGAACATCTAAAAACACATGGATTTCAAGATCAGAGACAACATGGGTTTACTTCAGGGAGATCATGCCAAACTAATCTTATTGATTTTTTTGATTGGGTAACTAAAATAATAGATCAGGGTGGTGCAGTAGACATTGCTTACCTAGATTTCAGTAAGGCTTTTGACACTGTTGCACATAGAAGGCTTATCAATAAATTGCAATCTTTAAGTTTGGATTCCAATATTGTTGAATGGGTAAGGCAGTGGCTGAGTGACAGGCAACAGAGGGTTGTAGTCAATGGAGTATATTCGAAGCTTGGGCTTGTCACCAGTGGGGTACCTCAGGGATCTGTACTTGGACCCATTCTCTTTAATATTTTTATTAGTGATATTGCAGAAGGTCTTGATGGTAAGGTATGTCTTTTTGCTGATGATACTAAGATATGTAACAGGGTTGATGTTCCAGGAGGGATAAGCCAAATGAAATGATTTAGGTAAACTGAAAAATGGTCAGGATGGATAGGCCAAATGGCAAATGATTTAGGTAAACTGGATAAAATGGTCAGAGTTGTGGCAACTGACATTTAATGTGGATAAGTGCAAGATAATGCATCTTGGACGTAAAAACCCAAGTGGATAAGTGCAAGATAATGCATCTTGGACGTAAAAACCCAAGGTCAGAGTGCAGAATATTTGATAGATTACTAACCTCAACATCTGAGGAAAGGGATATAGGGGTGATTATTTCTGATGACTTAATGGTAGGCAGACAATGTAATAGAGCAGCAGGAAATGCTAGCAGAATGTTTGGTTGTATAGGGAGAGGCATTAGCAGTAGAAAGAGGGAAGTGCTCATGCCATTGTACAGAACACTGGTGAGACCTCACTTGGAATATTGTACACAGTACTGGAGACCGTATCTACAGAAGGATATTGATACTTTAGAGAGAGTTCAGAGAAGGGCTACTAAACTGGTTAATGGATTGCAGGATAGAACTTACCAGGAAAGGTTAAAGAATCTTAACATGTACAGCTTGGAGGAAAGACGAGACAGGGGGGATATGATAGAAACATTTAAATACATAAAGGGAATCAACACAGTAAAGGAGGAGACCATATTTAAAAGAAGAAAAACTACCACAACAAGAGGACATAGTCTTAAATTAGAGGGGCAAAGGTTTATAAATAATATCAGGAAGTATTACTTTACTGAGAGGGTAGTGGATGCATGGAATAGCCTTCTAGCTGAAGTTGTAGATGTTAAAACAGTAAAGGAGTTTAAGCATGCGTGGGATAGGCATAAGGCTATCCTAACTATAAGATAAGGTATTTAGAAAATTGGGCAGACTAGATGGGCCGAATGGTTCTTATCTGCCATCACATTCTATGTTTCTATGTATTTGCTACCCACTGTTGCCATAGTTGCCAGACATGTGGTCAAAGAAAACCTTGTGGTCCAACCCCTTATACTCTATGATTGTCCATTATTTGGTCTTTTGTTTCAACTATTGTATTTGAGTCTCCCATATTAAACCACCAGGGCCCTTCATGTCTATGACAAGCAGCAACACATACTAAAATCTAATTGTTTGTTAATTATGATCTAAATATAGAGTGGAAGTGAGCCTTCCTTTCAGATGTTGCTGAATTTAGTACGTTTTAAAAGTTCCACTGGAGTGCCTAATCAAAACCAAGATTCTATTTTGAAAAATCATAAAAATCAAACGATATTAATAGCTTTATTGCAGCTTTTAAAAATAAGCATGTAATCAAAAAAGCTAAAGACATCAAACTATCATGAGAGGTCGTAGCATCATAACTGGATTTGCATTCTTAGACCATTATTTATTTAGCCATATGTACTCTTAAGTATGTATCTAGATTTGGCATATATCTCTCGTCTATCTTGTGAGAGCATCTACAACGGTAACAAAAGGAGATAAAAACCAAAAATCAAGATCATAGAGTATAAAGTAGACTTAGCTAATGAATAAGGCTATAATCCTTTTTTTTGTAATTTTACTACAAGAAATAATAAGTGCTGGTGGGATTACAGGCAACAATCAGCAAGAAAAACAGTCTATTTTTCAATCAATGACAGAAGCTGTTCAGGTTTTCAATATGCATATAGTGCTTGATCATGACTATATCAATGAAATTCAACTTCTGTTTCTTTTTGGAAATAGAATGCTTCTGCGTGGTGATTCAGAAATTATAAAAACCACTACAATTTAGTCTTAGATGTGAACAAATTTTAATATTTTTATTAGATTGTTTTGTTGTCATCTGATTCAAACCGTAAATCATCTTTACTCTTGCTCAAACCCATTTTTATTCATTGCCGTCTTTCTTATGACTGCTTTAAAAATTTTAATATATACTTGTTTTCCCCCTCTTGCTAATCTATGTATAATTCTAATGCCTAAACTCCAGGACTTTGGAGCAGAGAAATTGTCTATCTATCCGATTCCCTTTATCAGACTGAATCACTCTGAAAAATGAAATCGCCTCACTTGTAATGAGCATTTAATACACCCTAATAATAAAGACATATGCAGATCCATGATTTCCTTCCCAGGTATCCATGAAAGCAGTTATTTTGTAGGAATTGCTCAATGAGTATTATTACAAAGCGAGGTTAATGTGTTCTTTCCCCTTCTTGCTAAATCACATCCATTAAGTTGAATAATTGTGCAGTTTGGATACTATATGCAAGGCTTGCAGTTCTCATATAAGGCTGCCCAGCGTGGAGCACATATTGTAAGTGTATGATTTCTAGACTGGAATAATTTTGCATAATGTTATGAAAAATTAAAGCTTTCCTTAGTATTCTAAGTATATACCCACATGACACAAAGAATGTGATTAGATCTCATTTATACACATTTGCAAATTGTTATTTGTATCATACATCACTGTTCCTAGTCATCAAGTGTAATCTAATAAACCATTGCGTGAACACAAGAAAATAACTAAAAAGAAATGCTGCCTTAGATATATTTTTGCTTATTATTTAATTATCCATGTCCATTTTTATGTAAAAAGAAAGGAAAGGAACAGTACAGCAATGAAATAATGCTCATCAGATTCTGATGCTCAAAATGTATTCCAGTTATTTAATTTATATATCAAGATACTTATGCAGGTATCACAGTCTGAGACATTCAAAGATAATATTGCAGAAGCATCTATCACCTCTTCTGGAACAGCTAAACCACTACCTTATTACCTTACACCTGTGGTGAAATAAGTTGAGTATCTGTGGGGAGATTTGAGACCTAGCTTCCTGTCCAGAGATTATTGGACTACTTAAGGACACAGAAATTCTGTCAACCTGTTTTTCATACATTCACATACTGTGACAAAGCATGTTGGGGTATCAGGTCAGGGCTTCAATTTAAAGAACTGAGGGTGGACAGATGGCACAAGGAACGGGGGGGGGTTGTCATAGGTGACATAGTGGCATAGTAGGGGATATAATTAAGTTGACTGGTGCAACTTAGCATCCCTTTTGGCCCCCACCCACTTACTCAAATTAATAACCCACAGAACTCTAATATTGATAACAGGTTGGGACCTAATGTTTCCCCCAAACCCCCACTCATGGACAGTGTGTGGTGACTGTCCACCCACCAAAGAAATATGTCCACTCCCACGGAATGCTAGGGGTCCCCAAGCCATAGCCAACCCCAATAACATCACGGGCATGTGTTTTTTTTAGCCCAAATTTAGACTGATCACAATCTTTACAAAAATAAATCTCAAAGTCTAGTGGTTACCATACTTCCTGGATAATAGTGAGCTATAATTTATAGTTATGCAGTACTAAATACATGAGGTGTCAACATTACCATGTTGTGTTGTCACTTGCTTCTGTCTAACATTTCAAATCATCATCAGTCACTTATTTTCTATATTCCCCCAGCAGAGCATGAGAGACACTCACTATGTCAGTAATCACAGCAGGTATAGAGCCTCAAAATGAAAGAGCATGTAGGTGGGTTCTCCTACTTCTCCCATGTCACTCAATCTTCAGCATAGCTGAGCCATGCCAGGGTCTATGGTAAAAGGTTCATTTACAGGTGTGGGGGTGACTTTTTTTAGTCTAATAGTTTTAATAAAAAATATAAAAAAACTCTATACTTTTGCTTGCTATTTAGATAGCACTATGCATAGAATAAATGTTATGCACTTTAAAATAAACAGTAAGCTATTTGTACCATGACAGTTACACCTACTTTATTTACTATTACACTTTTTTGAGTTTGCTGATCGGTGATGCTTTCATATAAAAAAAAAAAAAGATCGGCGGAGCCTGGAGCCGAGCCTGAACGGTCGCACCTTCACAGAGCTCCGAGCAATCGACATAAATTCATGCCAATCTGAGACCCTGGGGTGCCATCAGACGACCCAAACACCCACCCGAGTACCCCCGGAGACTAAACCAAAGACAGATGTCTTTTCTGTTCCCGCAAATGGGTAAGAAGACCCGACAAAGATCTGGGGCCTACCTTGCGCTCCAAACCTCGAGGTACACGACGGAGATCCCGGCACTAGGTACAAGCAACAGCTCCCGCCTACTGACTGACCCCACAGAACCGGACAGTCATGGGTCGCAGGTCCCAAAGGCCTCCACCAACTGCCGGCAGAGACACGCAAGATATCGGCAACCTGCTACAGCGGCCGATGGCGCCCAAGATGGCGGCCCCGCCGGAGCGCACACCAGACCCTCTAGACCCGCAAACTGGGGCTGGATCGGAACCATCTACCACCCCTCAAGCCACAGGGAAACCGGCCAGCAGAGACACACTCACCCCGGCTACCAAACAAGACATAGCTGACCTCCTTATGGAAATGAGGCAAATGCATGCGGCAGATCTCGATTTAAATGGAACTGAAATGCTGGCGGTGAGCGCACGCACACAGGCCTCAGAGGAGGATATAATAGACCTGAAAAGAGAAGTGAGGGGGCTAAAAGACACTTTCTACAATATACAAGGGGCACAGTCACCCTCACCACAAGAGTAGACCTGGCAGAGGACCGCAACAGACGAGCCAACATAAAAATAAGGGGGATCCCAGACAGCGTTGACTCCTCAGAACTGCCCCACTACCTCAGATGCCTCATGGCCACACTCTTGCCACCCGCTCAGGCAAAAAAGTTTGTATTGGATGGCTGTTTTAGGATCAGAAAAGCCAAACAAGCACCGACGGATGCCCCGCAAGATTTCATCATCAGGTGCCATTCCGTGACGGACAAAATCAGGCTCCTCGCGGCACATTTGAAGCTTCCCAAGTCACCTTTTACCAGGACTTAACTCGCAACACGTTACTGTGGCGCAGGTCCTTGGCCCCTGTCACAACTCAATTGCGAGACGCAAAGATTGACTATAAATGGACACTCCCAATGTCTCTGACAGTGACCAAAGAGGGTGCCACACTCAGCCTCTCCTCGCTGCAAGAAGCTGAACTGTTCCTGCGGGCACTAGGGATACCAACTCGAGCCCAAACATGGGAGAACCCCATGACATCACACACTTGGGACCCGGAGAGAATAACTCCTTTTACTCCTAGAGACACGGAGAGACGTGGGCCCTGACCTGAACTGCCCCACCGAAACAAGCATAATATGACATATTGTTCCTGAACCCCTCTATGTTATTCTTCTTACCTATGGTTTGTTATGTTTTCTTTGTAGGTTTCGACTCACAGTTGAGCCAAAGTTAATCTAAATACATGTAGTTCCTCCACTAGACACGGTACACTTGGGCTGAGGGACAATGCCCCCAAGGACTAACACATACTCACTGAAAACCCTGACCCCTCACAGGAGCTAAGCACCCCCCCCCCCCGAGACTCCAGTGTAAGGGGTCAACACGCAACCTACCTGTCGCACACACCCGACAGCGCCCGACGCCTCACAGTCTTGACTGTAACACCAACAGACGTATCCCCAACTAAACTGAGGTACTCTCTAGCACGGACAGCACTAACATAGGCTACACTAGGTAGCACACAAGCCTAATTCACAATAGACAACCCACTGGCAAAATGGAGGCCTGCCTCACCACCACATCACTAGGCATTTAAGGTCCATGTTTAGCTTCTAACTGTCGCACAGTGCGCACCACCCTGGACCGTACTCGACACCACGTCCACTATGATAGACTGACATACACAATGTGGCAAGGCACAAACGGTTTCAGCTGGGCAATCGGTTATCATCCTCAACTCAACTTCTGTTTAAATTACTCTAAAACAAAAATCGTGCTAAACCTGCAGATAACATAGTATGCACCTGTCTGAAGCATGTGTCTATATGCTATGTGTTGTTGCAAGTTAAACTTGAATCCCGGAAGGCTGTTGTGGCCACATGGGCTGTACTGTATTCTACCATGCACGAAAATAAATAAATAAAGAATTAAAAAAAAAAAAAAAGATCAGTAGACTTTGCTTCGTTTATAAGTAAGAAATTACCTTCATAACATTAAAGTAATTTGCTCCAGTGAAAAAAAATGCTGCTATAGAAATTCTTGAGGGTATAAAGTAACAGGTTTTTATTTCAATGTATTATAAAAAGCTTTAGTGAAACAATTTAGATCTTATACATGAAACACTCAAAGAAATTAAAGAACATTATTTTAAAAAATTATTTGGAGGCTTTTGTCACCCACCATTGACTCCACAAATTTACACCTGAAAGTTTTCTGGTTTTTACTTATTTTTTAAATTATTATTGCTACAGCCCAAAGGCTCTAAGGATTTCATAAAATGAGTTTTCTGGAAAAAAATGTTTTAATTCTTCCTATTTAAAATTGCCAGGCTCAGTTTAGTTTACACATCTAGTTCCTTTTTAATTAATATTGCCAATTTTTTAAAATAAACCATTCAATGTGAAAATGTCTACACATTTCCACTTTTGTTACACAAATATCACCAATCATTGATTCCATTTCGACATTGTAAATTATGTATTTTTAATCAAAACTAAATTTTTAATTTCAATTGGTAAATGATAATATCGCTTAAAAAAATTAACTCAGCCAAGCCAAATAAATGTTGAAGCAAGCTAATTAAATGTAAGGCAAGCATCTAATAAACTCATTGATATGATTAAGGTGGATCTCTGCTTTAAGCTACTTGGTGCCTAAGGGGCATGCAATGTATTACTAAATCATGCACTGAAAGAACATCTGTTACTAAATAATAAAAATATTCATATAGTGTGCTAATCTGTATAACCCAGCAGTATTAGCATAAACATTTAGTTGAAATAGCCGCATCTGCAAGATTAATTTTAGTTATTTATTCGTAATAGTCCTAGGTCACCAGGCCTCCCAAATACCAACAACCCTGGAAAGTATAAATGTTTAGACTGTAAAAGTGCCAAAATGCTTTGAAGTTAGTTAGAAAAAATTGCTGGCAATATGCTGATGATATATTTATTTATAATGAATATTATTATTCATTGTGTTGTAGTAGTCCTTGCTGTGGTTATTACTATTGTAACTAGTGTTACCAGTTATCAATATGGCTGTTACAATTATTCTACTACTATTAAAGGACAGATTAGAATAGTTTTAATATTGTTCTCTATAGTATTGCTATTAGTTTATGAATACTCTTATGATGTCCACCAGTTTTTTTTTCTGCTTAAATAGGTGCTATGTATAACACATGTAATCTGTTGGTGCTTAGTACAACATTTTAAGCCATCGATGTTAAAGGCTTACTACAGGGGCGTACCTAGAGCTTTTGGCACACAGGGTGGATCCTGTGTTTGCCACCGCCCCCTTAAATCCCCCCCCCCCACTTCAACACCCGCAATATTTTTAAAGTTTTCATTTTTTTAAATTGCACAAATGTTTAAATTGTGGAAAAAACCCTGTCCTGCACCTTTTACAAAACCCTTCTCCTACCTGCCATTCTACATAACGCATGTCCTTCTACAAAACCTCTGCTCAGCCCCCCTTAAACAAAATCCCTGTCCCCTTCTACAAACCCCTGCACCCCCTTCCATAAAAAAACCTGCCTCTCCCTCTAAAGCCTCTTACAATAGAATTCTTTTTTTTTTTTTCACAACAATATTAGCAACAGTCTTCAGAGTCCAGTCCCAGGCACATAGTAACTTGCACACAGTCACACACACAGTTACAATCAGACAGTCACACACAGTTACAGGCAGACAGTCACACAAACAGTCACATACAGTCACACATACAATTACAGGCAGATAGTCACACACACACAGTCACAGGTAGCATCCCCCAATCACAGGCAGACAGTCACACACACATAGTTACATGAGGACAGTCACACACACACACTCACAGGCACACTGTCACACAGACAGTCACAGGCAGGCACTCACACACAATTACAGGCAGACAGTCACACACACACAGTCACAGGAAGAAAGTAACACACACACACAGTTACAGGCAGGCAGTCACACACACATACACACACACTTACAGGCAGTCACATACACAAACTCACAGTCAGACAGTCACACACACACAAACACACACTCTCTCTTTTAATTACAGTCAGCTTGGACTGGACGAGCAGTGGATTCAGTCCATGCTGTGTACTTGTTGGGGAAGCAGGGTCTCCACCCTGCTTCCCCTCAATATGCAGCAGTAACAGCAACGGGTGGAGGCTGTGTCTAGCTCCGTCCCTGCTGCTGGTTTGGTGCTGCCCCCACTGCCGATTAGCTTCAGCCCGTTTTGTTACCATGCGTCAGGTTTTCAAGTTCTGCGGCTGCCTGGGTGTGTGAGCTGTGTGTCTGCCATGGCGTCCTGTGCGGCCGCACAACTCACACATCCTAAAGCCGCCCTGGTCATGGCACCCCCTAGTGCGTGGCACCTGGAACGGACCGCACCCCCCCTTAGTACGCCACTGGCTCACTCCAGACCCCTAAGCAATTTTAGCTTGCAGAAAAGATTTATGTGTGAAGTATTTTGAAAAAAGTGCAGATTTCAATAGACATTTACTCTTTAATAAATTAACCTGGTTACACCCTCTTAGCTGTCAAGCAGACAATAGGTAATGCTACTTCCGGGTTTCATTAGCTCAATGCTGCTGACCTCAAGTGGCAGCAATGCTCCAAATTTACAACGATTTCTCACTTGCTGCACTGTGAAGTCTGTGATTGGACAGCCACAGACAGTCTGGACGGGATTAGAAGGAGAGGGCTTGTAAAGGCAGCAAACTAGAGAACTGCAGGTTTTGCAAGCGTTTCTTAAATATATCCCCAAAAATAAATAATTAGATGCATGCAAGTTTTCATTTGGGGTATATCTACTAAACAGTGATATTTCTTTATTTTGTATTTCGGCAGTGGAGTGTTCCTTTAACATGAATCTGTTGCCTGATATTTAAATAAAAATACAAGAAGAGATTAATAATATTGTCATCTAACCTAATTATTTTATTTTTACTTAACTAAATACAATGAAACTTTCAAGAATTGTGTAATCATTTTTTTTTACAATTCTTTGTGACAGTTTATTAAAAGAACATAAATGCTGAAGGTTGTGATGTCAATATCCTATTAGGGCTGGCTCATCAAATAGGTTCTTTAATTCTCAGAGTTCTGACGTGAGTAAGAGGACATTTTTGTTAGAACTGCTTGATGCCCTATAAATGCCTTCTCCGAGTCTTGAAATACATACATAGTAAGATGTGCTAAAAAATACTCAAGTCACTAAACCTTTCAAACATATATGTTTCATTCACTCCATCTTGATTTCTCATTGGATAAGCAAGCAGTTATATCATATATTAGCTACATTTAATAAGTACTAACCAAGAAAGTTATGGTGGGATAAAATGTGATATTAAACCCCTTCCATCAGAGTGAGGTTGGTTACTGGTGGCCAGATCTTTGTTTAACATTGTATTGAATATTCACTGTGTTCAGGTGGAAGGGGATTTCAATCACTTTTTTTTCCCACCATCACTTTCGTGGTTTGTGTTTCGCAAGTAACGCCAAGCCTCAATAGCAATCCAGTAACCAACCTCATGCATATGAGTTGCATTAAAGGGACTCTCCAGTGCCAAGAAAATATATTCATTTTCCTGGCACAGCAGGAGCCTACAGTGCCCTTCTCCCTCCCACCCCCCATCCCATGTCCCTTGGTGCTGGGTCATGCCCCACCCACTCTCCTCCCCTACTGACATCAGCCGGTGGGGGAGACCCAATGCGCATGTGCGGCAATGGCCGCACACGCGCACTAGAACTCCCCATAGGAAAGCATTATTCAGAGTGACAAGACCAAAATAGAGCTTTATGGTCACAACCATAAGCGCTATGTTTGGAGAAGGGTCAACAAGGCCTATAGTGAAAATAATAACATGGTGGCTCACTGATGTTTTAGAGGTGGGGGGGGAGGGGTAAGCTGTAAAGGCAAGGGGACTTTTGTAAAAATTGATGGCAAGATGAATGCAACATGTTATCAGAAAATACTGGCAGACAATTTGTTTTCTTCTGCACAAAGGCCGCACACGGGACGCTCTTGGACTTTCCAGCATGACAATGACCTTAAGCAAAAAGCCAAGTTGACCCTCCAGTGGTTACAGCAGAAAAAGATTAAG